GTGATGGGTATTAAAGAGGGCACATTCTGCGTGGAGCACTGGGTGTTATGCACAAACAATGAATCATGGAACACTACATCCAAAACTAATGATGTAATGTATGGTGGTTAACATAACAATAAAAAATTATTTAAAAAAAAATCTGATTCCTTCACCCTTTGGGTGAGGTTGGCCCTATTTAGAACCCAGCTAAGATATTTGGAGGCCACGCCCTCCCCAATATAATCTCACTGCACACAAACCTTCTTGGCTCAGTGTTTACCTTAAATTCACATGTGAGGTACCCATCAGGAGTCTGGCCACTCCACTGTCATTTCCTGCCTTCCCTGTGAGACCCCGAGTCCCTGACTTCCTCTGGCAGGCCTGCTGGTGCACATGGGCATGCCCAGGTTGGACACTGAGTTTTTCTGGGTATCTTTATAGACATCTGTTCAAATAAATAAAAGCCAAGGCTTTGCTCGTGGGTCATACCATTCACTGCAAAAGAAGCCAGAATGGGACACTATTTTGCAAGAAGACACAGGGTAAAAATTCTTGGCACGTGCTGAGCTAAAAATGCTAGCTGACAAACAGATACAATATCCAACAGGTGGAAACATGGTCTTGGAAACGGAAATGAGCAAAATCCACAGGAGGTAAAAAAGCAGCAAGATAGATAATGATAAAGCCACCCTCTAGAGACTGGGGACAGACCCAAATCCAGTTCAGGCCTGAGTAACCCAAGATGCTTCCTCTCTCTGTTTATTTACGGAGGACAAGAGCTGCTTTCCTCGTGCTCTTCCTTCTCTGGGTTAGTCCTCCATCACGCAGTCAGTTCTTAACTAGACTCAAGTGATTTCGTTGTTGTTGCCATGATTACTTCCTGCCCTCTCTGCAAGCATATTCCGCCAAGAAAGAAGCCATAAACAGCCACTAAAGGGAGAAGCCGTGGGTGTGCATGATGATGGTCGCTAACACTTCTCTAACTCCCAAATTAAACAGAGATAATATGAGAATTACACACTATTTATATTAACTTAGTGCTGCTCTTCCCTGCTATAAATTCTAACCCACCCAAGAACTGGCTAGCTGCATAATTTGCTGGAAAAGAATGCCTGTATTTTAAATAAATTGTCCTGATATATAAAACCAACCAACCAACGAATACAGAAACAAGCAGTGCTCAAAACGGAATACTTACCCCTGTACTCACAAGAGACAACATAATCCTCTCATTTAAGGCTAATGTTTCTCCTTGTTTCATCTTGATCCTCTTCTTATCCAAGCATTTCATTGCATACCTAGAAACATAAATGCTATTGGAAAAACTCTACTGAAAATATATCTAAGCTGCTTTAAATGATACATGTCACATGGGGGAAAGTTTCTAAAGATTTGGGAAGTGTCTAAAAGAAGCAAAATGGTACCCAAGTGTCATGCAAAAAAAAAAAAAATTTTTTTTTTAATTTTGTATGTATTAAGAAAAAAATTCAAGGCCCCCTCCAGGAGGCGAAGCATACCTCCCCACTCCTTAGGTAAGGGCTGCACACAGTGAGCTCCTTCCTAAGAGAACAGCACGGAGAAGCAGGGACAGGGATGTTACAGTGGACGAACCTGACGAACACTACCCTCAAGCAAGTGGTCAAGGTCAGCATCACCAGTGATGAGTCATCCTGTTGATGAGCATCCTTGATATGATGTGATGAGAATGGGGTTTTCTCTGGGGTCTTGCTTCCAAAAGCCCACAGCCCCAGTATAACTGTGAGGAAAGCGCACCTGAACTGGATGTCTAATAGAATGTCTATTCTATGGCATCCCTGACTGGGACTCCTCAAGGCTATCCAGGCCATCAAAAACAAGGAAAGACTGCGAAACTGTCACAGTCTAAAGCAGCCTCAGGAGACATGATGACTTAAATGTAACATGGGATCTGGGAACAGAAAAAGCACTAAGGAAATCCAAATAAAGTAGAGATTTTAGTTAATAATAACATTGATACTAGTCATTTGTTGTGACCAATGTAAGAGAGGGAGACTGGTGTAGGCCAGGGGAGCTCCCTGTGCTGTGTCTGTACCTCCTTTCTAAACCTAAAACTATTCTAAAATAAAAAGGTTTCTTTAAAAAAAAAAATCCAGCAATAATTAAGATATTTCTATCATTACATGAACAGAAGTTCCAATCCAATAAGAGCATAAAGTAGAGGGATATAAATAAATTCAGTGAAATAAATTTTGCATGTATCGTTGCTGCCCAGTACTACCATGTGTGTGTTGTGGGGGTGGAGGGATATGTGTATAATATTTAGCATTTAGAAATTGTGATTTTAGCAGTGGTCAAGATTTTGCAAGAGTGCAGAGTGCAAGACTCTAAAACACTGACAGCCAACAAAATGAAAAGGGAAGGCATGTGCTCAAAAAGGCACATCCTAAAATGTGACTTTATTGATTTGTTTTTAATTTTTTTTTTTTTTAAGTAATCTCCACATCCAATGTGAGGCTCGAACTCAAGGCCCCGAGAGCAAGAGTCCCACGCTCTACCGACGGGGACAGCCAGGCTCCCCTGATTTGTATTTAATCTTGATATTTAAGTTATCATATTTCAAATAATAAAAAGAATCAGTAAGATTTTTATATGAAAGTTAGTGAAGATTACAAAGAGCTGACAACTTAAGCTTTTTGAAAACCTGTAACAAACTCCTATTAAGGAAATACAGACATGTCAGCTGGCATTCTCTATAATCACAGGTGAAGAAAGCAGGACAGTTTTTCAGCAGAAAGCTAAAAGGAAATTTTTATAAGGATTTCTGGGGCTTTAGAACTCTGTGTGCATGATTATAAATCCCCTGATGGACGACTTTATAAGGCCCAGGTACAAATTATGGATGGTTGTCTGGCTGTGACAGGACCCAGAAAATCCATTTGTTTCTAACTGATCATAACTTACAATGTGAGGACTTAGAACGAAACAGAGATGGATATTCAAATTTGCTCCTTTTATCTACTGTTCCAGGAATTCATTATAATAAATCCACCAATGGAGACATTACTTTGCTTAATTACAGGATCGCATATTGAGTATATATGAAGTGACGTGTTCTTTAAATATTTAATTTTCATGATGAATTTCAAAATGTTTCAACTACTTCTATCACTACCCCCTACCATGATGGCATCTGGTAAAACATTTAAATTGCAGACCAGAGAAGCTGGCATAAACAGGCCTAGAGCCCCTGGGTTGAGCAAGCTGGCTTCCACTGGCTTCTGAGGTAGGTGGCAGTTCGAGGATGGGCTCCGGAGCCAGTGCACATGTCACTGGCAGCCTGGGGACTGGAAGGACACACTCCTGGATCCATAGGGACTGAGCCTGGCCACTTTCTAGCTGCGGGACTCTCGGTAAGCATCTACCCTTAATCTGGAAAGTAGAAGACAGTTTTCCACACACTGAGAATCCATAAAATAATAAATGTAATGAAGAGATGCGTTGATGTTATTAATTTCTACATCTACATCGTGTGGCAGATTAGCAGATCCCCTAAATATGTGGACAAGCCACAGTGATGAAGGTGAAAGAACAGTCGGTGAAATGGAGTAAGTGATAAGCACATCACTTAGGATCAGAGCCCACCGTGGGACTACGGTGGGACGAGGGACCTAGGCACACCGTTCACTAATACTGACTATGGAAGAGGCAGTGGTCTGCATGCCTTAAAGTGTATTATCTCATCCAATTCTCATGAGGAGGAAGTATTTTCCCGACCCTACAGACCAGGATGCCGAGGCTGGGCAGAGGCACAAACTTTGTGCAAGCCAGCTATGACCCGGCCATGGGCCGCCCAAACCCGTACTCTGGATCGCCAGGCATCCTGTCTCAGCAGGGCCCCAGACTTCACGTGCCCGAGTGCCAGACACTGGGTTCACCCCGCACAGGGCCCCACAACAGGAAGAAGACCAGCGGGCACATGTCAGTGAAGGTAACCTTCAGCCCCCACATAACAAAAATCATGCCCATGACAGGACCTGTCTGAAAAGTGGGAGGGCGACTTGGTAAGGCCTTCGGTGCCCAGTCACAGGGAGGACCCGAGCAGAGGCTGAGTGACAATGCTCGCTAGACAGTGCTGGTGTGGCAGGAGAGGCAGGCGCTGAAGTCGGTGACCCCAATTACTCCTTCTTACACCTACAGTGAGGTTATCAAGCAAGGTGCACAGCCGATTCCACTCGGCCACGGCTCTAACAGGCCTGTCACTTGATCACACTTGTAGTTCTGCATCTGTTGAACTGTACTTTCCCATTCTCTTTTGCTTCCAGATATATGTTCACTTAAACAAACTCCTTCTATATTTAGAAAAACCAAAACATCTTTTCCCCCTGCACTCCTTAAGAACTCCAAGACCATTCACCTTCTGGAAGAGGCCTGCGCCTGGCTCATGTGCACGTAACTGCCTCACATCAACCTCCTCCTGTAAGATAAGCAACTAAGACGGTGATGGAGCCCCATGACCGTGATCCTCACAGCAGGCAGGGCATCCTTCTCACCAGCCTCAGGCTACCCATCTATGGAACTGACATCTCCTGGAAAGCTACACCACGCCAAAGGGCATATGCTAAGTCACAGGTGCTTCACCGTTTAGAAGAGAATGTCTCTCCTCCGCAAAGCAGAGAATTCTTTGCAGCAGGATCGGACCAGGAGGCTGTACATAATGCCCCTTCTTGGTCACCTCCAGATCCCAGGCTCCTTCACCCGTGGCCTGAACCACAAGGGCTCATGACACACAGTACCTGGTTAACTTCCCTTTGAGCCCTAAGAAGTGGAAGTTCCAGCTGACTGTTCTCATTTATAATGCTTAACAAAATATAGCCTCTTTCTACCTGAAGTAAGGCACTTCAGGAGTGGGAAGATGGGCTTCCATAAATCGATGTAGGCATTTTCTATTAATGCAAGCGTAAAACCTATAAAGAGCTTACATTTTTCCAGTGTCTGCTTTCCTGCAACCGTACACTTCACCAAATCCTCCTCGTCCAATGATCCTGTGTACGCTGAAATCATTCATGGTCAACTGTGAATTCAAAACACGAAATGGAAACAGAGTTGCATTAAAATTATGTTATTGTTTTCATGTAAGACACAGTTACTAAAATCGCAGTTCTGATATAAGGATCTGCATTTTCTGTGACTGACTGCTCTGAGAGATGAGATGTGCAAGGTGGCAAGACTTTCTAGAACCTCCTTCCGCTCCACCCGCAAAATGCACAAAAGGGAGGCAAATGGGCAGACAACAGAGTGGGAGTCGAGTTAGATTGTTTTTCCAATCTCCTAAATGTTAGGTTATTAGACGTACACCCTGAAGACAAGGGAGTGTGAAACTTCTAGTCAAAATGAGAGTGTCCTTAACTATTCTGAAGCTGGAAGTTTGGGAACAGCTCAGCAATTCCAGGAACTGTCATGGTAGAAAAATAAATCTACACCAAGGGCATCTATGTTTTCATAATAGTGGACCATATGATCAGAAAACCCAACGGATGCTGGCCATGTGAATTTTTTATCGATAACATCACGGAATAGGGAGGACTCATGCTGGGCATGTGAGTGTGAAACAAGACACTAAATATGAGGAAAGTACATAAAGAGGTTTCATTCATAAGCCCTCTCCTTGTGTCAATATCTCAGTAACGCCGTTCTTCCTAAGTAGGTTTAATAGTCTTAGATGGTACAAAGGCAGACAGTGAGCCCGACATTCACGGTGGTTTATGTATCCTGGCAAGTTAAGGGTCAGATTCCTGAAGGGTTCCCCCAAACAACCCTTCAAACACCATGTTTACAGTCAGGTAACTGGGCCCAAAGGCTTAACCTCTGATGCTCAGGGGACAGCAGGATATGACCACACCAGGTCTGCTGAAGGAGAATACGCATCAGAAAGATCTATGGCAGACAGAAAGGATTTTTTTAAAAATGCGTTATTGCCCTCTTATTTCCAAAATTCTGCTAGGATATGTGAAAGAAAGGAATTTAAAAAAAAAAAAAAAAAGTGCTTCTCCCAATGGTACCGGCAAGTAAAAAACTAAAAAAACTACAAGAAAAAAAAACAACACTAAAATAAATCCAGTTGATTATTTCTTTTCCTCTTCGCAAACCTATGTGAAGGGAGAACATGAAGGAGGAAGTCAAAGAGGATGTACCGAGGAAGGAGGGTTCCCAAAAATGAAGAAGGGGACGTCCCAGGAATTTCTGACGTTGAAAGCTAAAAGCAGAGGAGACGTTCACAGGAAGTGCGTGTTAGTTAGAAAGGAGCCTGTCTTTGAGGGCTGCTTTTCTCATTCTCAGAAATAATCAAAGAGGAGATGAACCCTTGGTCTAATAAAAGATGTCATCATTTTTATTACAAGATTATAGCTAATAACACGAACGAGAAGGGAGACTTTACCAGGATGGCAAAAGCCAAGAGCATGTGGGAAGTACGTTATGTGGGGGCCTTGTGTTTTGGCTACTATTTCTGTGGAAGGGTCGATCACTGCTTAAAATACCCTTTCTTAAATAAATAAACACATTCTTACATGAATCTGAAAAAAGAGAATTAAAACCCGAATTGTTTATGAGGCCGGGTACGGGAGGATGAATTCTTCGTACACAGAGCTGTTAGAGTGACATCTGTTTAGAGAGCGTATTACCCGTGGGAGTGTGCTCCGGGGTATGAAGTATTTTCTCATGAAGTTAAGCCAGAGGAAGTTTTTATTTAAAAAAAAAAAAGGAAAGAATAAAAGAATACTCACATGGATATTTAATTCTACGTTTTTCCACTGACAGAATCGAGTGAACTTGTCACTAAAAAAGAGTAGAAACAGTCACTGAAAAGTTGCATATCACATGAATCGGATTTAAAGAGCAATGTTAAAGGACAGACGAGGATGGTACCACTTGTGTTGCTTCTTTGACCAGAGGTACGTTTCCTTCCTTATCTTTTCACAAAGCCTTCACCGGTCTTTGTGGCTTTATTTTATGATTCAGGTGCATGATGTCATATTTCCCTTAAATTGTGATGATGGTTATGGTCCCATCTATCTGAATCAGCACCATCCAAGAGAAGGCCTAACGTGAGCCCCATACGTACTTTCATTTTGATAACGTATTTTATTTAACCCCAGGATAGATAAAAAAATTATCATTTCAACATGTGTGCGATCGGTACAAAATTAGTAATGAGACCCTCTACATTGTTGTTTTTATATTAAGTCGTGAAACCCAGTGTGTATTTTGCACTGAGAGCCCATCTCGATTCACACTCAGTCATTTTAAGGGCTCAAGAGCTCCATGTGGCCAGTGGCTCCCATACTGGACCACGCAGCTCTAAATGACAAAATATTCGGGAGCACCTAGAGGGCTCAGTCGGTGAAGCGTCTGTCTTCGGCTCAGGTCATGATCCCAGGGTCCTGGGATTGAGCCCCACATCGGGCTCCCTGCTCAGCGGGAAGCCTGCTTCTCCCTCTGCCTCTGCCACTCCCCCTGCTTGTGTTCCCTCTCTTGCTATCTCTTTCTCTGTCAAATAAATAAATAAAATCTTTAAAAATAAGTAAATAAATGACAAAATATTTATAAATAATGGTTAACAGCAGCAAACACTCAGCTGGTGCTTTCCATGGGCCAGACCCTGTTCATTTCCCCCTCCAGCGACAAGATGAGCAGGTCTGACGAGCAGGAATGATGATGCCCATTCTGCAGCAGAGGAGACCAGGGCCTGGCCAAGGTCACACAGTGAGAGAAGGAGTAGGGATGGATCTGAACCCGGACCAAGCAACGCTGCTCAAATACAAATGCTGTAGGAGAAAAAGCCCTTAGACTAGAATCACAAGACGCGATAAGTCCCACCGAGCGGATTTGTTCCCACAATTTACTCAACTTCTTGATGAGTACTTTTTTTTCCCCTCTATCTAGAAAAATATCTATCCCCACAGCTTATTTAATGAAGTCATTATTTTCATTATGGTTATTAATGAGCAACACTGTCTGTAGTGTTTGTTTTAAAACATTTTTTCAAAAGAAATGCTTTCTAGATTGAATACTCTTCAAAGGCAAAGAATATTCTTGGTGACTGCTGGATTTCACCTAGCCCCTGGCACAATTCCTTACACGGGCACAGTATCCAGGGTTCTATGAATGAATGAATGAATGAATGAATGAATGAATGAAAAGGAAAGGAAGAAGGGGAGAGAGGGAGAGAGTACTATGAAATACATGGTCCAGGAATTACTGGCATTCTAACAGAATGCATTAAGGCATCTAAATATCCCAGTTGCCTGGGGGGAGTGGTTCATTTAATATGCCATCTAAGACAAATGTAGTGATCCAAAGGGGCACGTATATCCCAATGTTTATAGCAGCAATGTCCACAACAGCCAAATTATGGAAAGAGCCTAGATGTCCATCAACAGATGAATGGATAAAGAAGATGTGGGTGTGGGTGTGTGTGTGTGTGTGTGTGTGTGTGTAATGGACTATTATGCAGCCATCAAAAAAACCAAACTCTTGCCATTTGCAATGACGTGGATAGAACTAGAGGATATTATGCTAAGTGAAATAAGTCAATCAGAGAAAGACAAGTATCATATGATCTCATTGACAGGAAGAATTTGAGAAACAAGACAGAGGATCATAGGGGAAGGGAGGGAAAAATGAAACAAGACAAAACCAGAGAGGGAGACAAACCATAAGAGACTCAATCTCAGGAAACAAACTGAGGGTTGCTGGAGTGGTGGGAGGGATGAGGTGGCTGGGTGATGGACATTGGGAGGGTATGTGCTATGGTGAGCACTGTGATTTGTGTAAGACTGATGAATCACAGACGTGTACCCCTGAAACAAATAATACATTATATGGTAATAAAAAAATAAAAAAAAATTATATGCCATCTAAGGATCTTTTAAAAATATTTCTGAGGCTAATATAGTCAAGTTGAAAATCAAAAGCAGAACTCTGTAATTATGCAGCATCTTTTGTCAATGAATTGAAAATGACGTTTACAGAGTGTTTCATTGATCTCCCTATCATCTCTGTGAGGTTGGTAAAATAAAATTATATTTTGAGCATTTCTGAGAGTTATTTCAAAGGTTTTTTTTTGTTTGTTTTTTTAAGTATGATGAGTGCAAAAGGCAAAACCACACTGGGGTGTTCTCTGTACTTACAAATCTATGACTGTCACTTTGAAATTCACTTGGTGTGTTGGGCAAGCTCATCCTCCCTTTTCTCCCGGATTCTGGAGCTCAGAGCCGGCAACAGGGGGCCAGTGAGCTGGCGCGTTTTACAGACTTGCAGACTTAGCTGGGGAGGACTAACAACCACGGGGAGAGAACTGTCCTGATGACTGAGAGAGAGTCAAGAGAACCAAATCCCAACACATACCCTGCCTCAAACGAACATCCCCCCCAACACACAAAGGACACCTCCAAACATACATTTTGCCCACGAAGTACAGGTTTTCTGTAGCCAGTTCTTCTTTAGGAAGTAGAGATGGCCCTGGGGTGTCCAGGCTCAGTCATGTATCCATGGAGGTTCCCTGAGTGCTATTTCTGGTCAATGCCTAATTACTAGAATGGGCACTTCTTGACAGAAGAGGGACTGGGGCTGAGAACAGAGCAGAGCCTTGGCAACATAGGGCTCCTGACAGCCAGTGCCCTTGCAGATGATGTACAGCTACCCCAGAGGGAAAGTCAGAGGTTAATGATATAAAAACGCCAGGGGTGCAGTGAGGGTGGGGTAGAGTAAGCACTTTTAACCTCTGTCTGTGACTCGGGCTTTAGATTGCTGGGCAAGTGAAGTTCACTGCCTCATCCAGAAGAGGGAAAGCCTCCTTCCCAGATTCAGGCCAGCCCGGAACTTAGTTAAGCCCTGTGTCCCTGCTGGCCTCAAGTGAAGGCAGAGATAAGCCCTGGCTGAAGATTTCCCCTTGATTATCAGACTGAGAAATCGCCTTACCCGCAAGGCCCTCAGAGAGTGTGGCCAGTCCTGATGGGGCCAAAGGCTACAAAGTTCTATTTGGGGAGTGTCCATGCTTTTCAAAACCCATGCTCAAAACTCTTGGTCTGACAATGGAGTTTTTAAGTTCACATTTGAGAATGTATTGACATGAAAAGAACGCGGAACAGATAAAAATGAAGAAATTCGCTTTGAAAATAATTTACATAACATGGTGAATGGCTTCAGAAAATCCAGTGTACCTGCTTGCCTAACACGCAAACAGCTTGGATTTCTGGTGGCAGTAAGAGCAGAAGGCTCACCTAGTGGGACAAAAGGACATGCAGGTTGACCAGGGGGCCAGTCAGCAAAGAAAAAGCTACCAGACCCCCTCCCCCACTGTAACTCCCATCCCCATCTCTCCCTAGAAGCTCGGTTGACCCCAAGAGCTGGGAAAGGTCAGAATTCTGAACTAACGGCACTGGAGCCAGGGCAGGCCGGACCTCGCTGAAACACAGCCAGCCTACCCCCTCAACGCGAGCCACCGCTTTCTGGCAAAGTCTCCGCTCTGACTCAGAAAAGGGTAATAATCACTTGTATGCGTATTAGTTTTCTAAAGTACTGACTCCACTCCAGGATAAAATTATCTCTTGAACTCTAGTGGCATCATAACACAACTGTTTTTTTTTTCTTTTTTAATTACTTTAGTTCTGTGAATAAGTGGAGGGAAAAACCGCAGAGAAGCAGCATTTGTTCTAACGGGGCAATTACTGAACAGCTGTGGGCTGCTCCGGCACCGAGACTCGATCATCACGGCGATTGTCTAGAAATTAGCCCAGTTTGCGGAGAAGAGCGCAGTCAGTGTGAAAGCAGATTCCGCTGAAGAGTGCATGATCTCAGAGGGATACTCAAAATCCCAGCGAATGGACTGCTGGTGGCCAGAAAGGCGTATGGGCCGGCCGCCTTTACAGGCATCGCTGAACATGTTCGGGGTTTCGTATGACAAACATACACATACAGTTTGAGTAGCTCAAAGGGACACATTTATTAGGGATAGTAATAATATATGTGACCACGGACATCTGCCTAGAACCTCAAATTCTATTACATAAAGAATCAAGTGCAATCTAGTCCCACCTTGGGGGACAGGATCTCAAAGAGCAAACAAATGAATTAGATAGGTTATAGAACCATGCTTGCCTTAGCAAAGGTGTCCCAATAAGATACTCTTGATACTGTGGTTCCATAGTCTATTTAAACTTTAGACCATTTTGAAGCTAAAGAGCTACAGATTCAAAGACACTGATCAAGATATGCAAATCCTAAATAATAAAGTACTGAGGTGACAGTCTAACATGAAGGCTGGCACATAGTAAACGCTTGGTAAGTACATTCATTGTCAAATGAACAAACTGATAGCCATTTTAAGGACAGCGTTCATTGGATAAAATGAGGTACACCTATAGAACAGCCCTGGGCTATTCTATATATATATACTGTATATATATATATATAAGTATATATATATACAGTATATATATACTATTATTTTAATATAACATTAGATGTCAAGTATATCTCAAAAACATGTTATGTACATACATGAAGTTTCATACCTTTCCATAAATTTTTGGAAAATGTTGCCTCGAAGACTTTCACAAATTTCTTCTATGTAGGGCTGGAAGAGATGGAAAAGAAATCCCACACTGCATAAATAGGAACCTAGAACACATACTGACGAGACTCGGATGACCTGCAGCTCCCACTCTTGCACTTGCCCAATTTTTAGTAACGGATTTATCACCGTGATTATTTAATAGTTATCTACAGCTCAACTGCATGCTCTGTGAAGGCATGGACAGGTCCGTCCGTTTGCCCCTGCATCCCTATTGCCTGGCATGGTTCCTGCAAAGTCACAGACGCTTCCCAAGTGACCATGGTTGGTTTTCCAGGTGTGTGACCCGTGCAGTCCCACAGGGCTCATGCTCAGAAGAGCCAGGGCTTGGTTTTGTGTCCCTGCCTAATCCATCTTAAAATTCTGAATTTCTGAACAAGGGGCCCCAAGTTTTTTAATGCTGTGCTGGGCCCTGGAAGTCATGTAGCACATTTTGTAAATGACTAAAAGTGTTGATAATCAGCATTGATACTGAGTTTTAAAGACTAAAAGCTAATGGATCCATGGAGTAAATTTTTTTTAATTAGCTATTTTACTTATGAACTTTCTACCTCTTGGCATCACAGAGCTAAAGGTAACCATGAGGAACAGTTAATCCCTCTCCTCATTTTGCACACGAGGCTGCAGCACTGTGGACAGGTGCTTTCCCAAGGTCTCTGAGCACATTCGTGGCTAGATCAGGATGAAGGACTCCTGGCTCACTTGTGCGGTGCTCATCCCTTGATGGAAAACAGTCTGCAGGTGACTCTTGTACCACATAAGTCTGAACCACACAGGTCCACTTACACACTGATTTTTTTACATACAATACTAGAAATGTATTTTCCTTATAATTTTCTTAATGACATTTTCTTTTCTCTAGTTTATTATAAGAATACAGTATATAATACATATATAAAATCTGTGTTAATCGACGGTTTATGTTATCGGTAAGGCTTCCGGTCAACAGAAGGCTATTAGCAAAGTTTGGAGGCAGGAGCCAGAAGTTATATGTGGATTTTTGACTGCATGGGGGTCAGTGCCCCAATCTCTGTGCTCTTCAAGGGTCAACTGCATTTATTTTGAAATAATTTTGTCTTACCTGGAAAAGAGTTGATGTCACTTGTTTCTTGGATAGGTGACTCTGTACATGCTCAACAGCTTGCTTTGAGAATGGCTTTTCAAAAAAAATTTTAAAAAACAGTATTTTTTTTTTCCACAAACCTCTGTACGTTACATAATACTACAGCATATAATTTAACACAATTACTAAGCAGGAAGCTGTGGTAATTATATTGACATGCATCCTTTAAAAATCAGCTGGATATCTGTGGGCAATAATGGATACTTGCTCCTCTGAGCTTCCGCAGTTCTTAGCCACCATCTCGAGAAGGATGATGAGCACGGGGGCACCTGACTGACGTAACCTAACCCCACAAGAGTTTAAGACTACTGTGATTAAAAAAAAAAAAAAAAGTGTAAAGAATCTTATCACCTTACTAAATGTATACATCCCTCAATTAGTTAATGACAGGGTCCTGAAACTGTAAAAATTTCCACTATATAAGAGAAAACAAATGCATGAAAATCCATGTAAGAATTGAAAGCCAGGGTGGTAGGAGGCTGTAGGTTAAGGAAAGTCTTGCTGTGACCATAGCAGAGGGGAGCTGGCTCTAAAAAAAAAAAGTTCCAATAAGAACTACACACTCTCTTCTCCCTCCAAACTTCAAATTACGTCTTCTTTAAGAATGCACCACAAGGGGCGCCTGGGTGGCTCAGTCATTAAGCGTCTGCCTTAGGCTCAGGTCATGATCCCAGGGTCCTGGGATCGAGCCCCGCATCGGGCTCTCTGCTCCGCGGGGAGCCTGCTTCTCCCTCTCCCACTCTCCCTGCTTGTGTTCCCTCTCTCGCTGTGTCTCTCTCTGTCAAATAAATAAATAAAATCTTTAAAAAAAAAAAAAAAAAGAATGCACCACAAGAGGAAAAGCTGAAAACGCCCATCATACTGCCAAAAACCCTCTAAACTGCTGAGCGATGTGAACACCAAGTTTCAGTGGCATCCCCACGGAACACCTGGCATTTTCCAAGGCTCAACCATCAGGACTGGCTCAGGAATTCTGTCTACTACAAGTGAGGTGAGGCCAACAAAGAAATGCTGGGCACAAGAGGTGCACCAGCCACAGTTACTCAAGTGGCAGCAAGAACCGTGAATGACACAGTAAATGCAGAAGCACTACAATAAATCATTATCGTGGCCAGGGCTGTCCGCTCAAACTCCCCTCAATGACAGCAATGTCGTGTATCCGCGCTGGTCAATACCGGAGCCACCAGCCACCTGCAGCTCTCAGGCACTCGAAATGCAGCTCGAGAGGCCTTGGGGAGTGAAATGCTTAACTCCACTGGATTTTAATTAATTTAACCTGATATCTAAACAGCCACATGGGGCCAGTGGCTCCTGTATTGGACATGGCAGCGAGGACAGTGAGGCCACTCTTTCAGAAAACTCTCAGAGACAGTATGTGGTGAATTTTTATCACTAATTCTTCCACACATTATTCCTGGCGGAATAATTTCCTAGGAATCTAGTTTATCCTAATGACTGAATGGATTGTTTATGTGATTTACAGGGGGAAAAACATATTTCCACCATTATTTAACTATTAATAAAATTAACATAAGAATTATTACTCTTCCTCATTAATCCAAAGAAACCATTTAAGATCTCTATTGATCAATATTTGATTAGCCTAATTATTTAAAGTACAGCCAAATTAACAATAATAAAGCTGAATTTCTTTTAGAAAGTCTGGAATTGAGACCAGCCTTTTTTTCCACTGATCTGCATGAGTTATCAATTCTGTTTTCATCATTTTTTCTTTGGCCGTGAAAGAATCCGCTTTTGGAAATATCCTTGGAGTAGATGGAGCATCAGCTTTGTGTCTGCATTACCAGCAACCAAATGACAGAAGAGAAGACATGGGTCCCGTCCTGGGGGAGTACTGTTTGATTTTTAAGCTTCTTCCTCCTATTTTACTTTCTAGAAACACTGCAAGCTGTCTCCGAGCCAAACTAAAGGCACGGAACAGAAAGAAATACTTACATGTGAGCAAGACAGCAGCTCCTTCATGATGTAAGTGTCATAAATTTGGCGGCTTCTGCAAAGGCGGTCTTCCTCATTTTCAAGCTTCTCATATTCTTTTATCTAGATTTTTCAAAGTTACCATTGTTAGGTATGTCTTCCCAGAAAACTCACTTTATTAAAAGATATTACTCGCCCGGGCAAAAAACCACTTCCACAGGAGATTAAGCAAATTGCTAAACCGGCTACTCCACAGGAAACAACTATTTCTAATGTTGGAATAATGAAGTTGGGATAATTTAAATGCAACTTGAAATATACAAATGGGTTTTTTCCTATGATGAACCTTGTCACTTAAATTTAGAAGCACAATATTAGGAAACAAATACTACCATGGTTACAATTATCTTACAGTACAACAGCCAGGGGCTATTCGTCCTTTGCCAAGCCTCCTCTCCAGAGCGAATCCCATTTAAATCTGGCTGTAATTCAGTTCTAAGACTTATAATGGAGATTGTTCTCATTCAACTACAACATTACAAAACAGAAGAAAAGGGGCGCCTGGGTGGCTCAGTCATTGAGCGTCTGCCTTCGGCTCAGGTCATGACCCCAGGGTCCTGGGATCGAGCCCCACGAGCCCCACATCGGGCTCCCTGCTCGGCGGGAAGCCTGCTTCTCCCTCTCCCACTCCCCCTGCTTGTGTTCCCTCTCTCGCTGTGTCTCTCTCT